AACAATTAACAAACAAATTACTTGTACATTATTTACATTACATTTTACATTTTTTATTGTACATTATTATAACAATTAAATATAAGTTAACAAAAGATACTGTGGACCATGTGTTAACTGCATCACTTAGAAAAAACGGAAAATGTCGTCTATCAAGAGGCTCTTCGGTAAATGAAACTAATTTTTTCACAGATGTGTGATACACTACAAACACACAAGTACAACTCATCACAATTTGACATTTTCCGTTTTTTCTAAGTGACGCAGTTAACACATGGTCCACAGTATCTTTTGTTAACTTATATTTAATTGTTATAATAATGTACAATAAAAAATGTAAAATGTAATGTAAATAATGTACAAGTAATTTGTTTGTTAATTGTTAAAATAATGTATTAATTATACACACAACCCGTACGAAGGACGGGTACACAGCTAGTCAGTCATTAGAAAAAACATTGCTGTTTGAAACAAGAAACGTCGTTTACTGAGTTTTATAATCATAGAAAACTTAAGAAAAGAAGAAAGACTAAAATATTATTAGTGATTCAAAAATATTCTGAGTAAAGGAAGTTGTCAAACCGTCCAATACTTTATATATTCATTTATTTACATCTAAACAACTTTCTTGAATATAAATAAATAATAAATAATTATGCCTTAACATTAAATCCTACTGCTAAATTGTCAAGTTACTTCCAGATATTACACAGTCACTCGCGCATCTTTGACTTGATTTTCCTGATTAGTTTATATCTTTCTTAACGACAAGAATAAACAAGTATTTATATAAATGTAGAATACGTCAAGAGGTACTTAATCCTAAATTGTAATGTGAACAGGAGGGGTATCATCGTCTCAGAGTTGTATTTCGGACATTTCTAATATCGTTTGTGTATAACTGCTTTACATATACGTACATAGCTATAAATATTTGATAATTTAGCTTGAATGGCATAAGAAAAGATACAGTATAATTCAAATAGAAAATTGTAGATGAAGGAGAAAAATAGCAATGCAAAGTAACCAGGTCATATTAGATATGAAAACGTTGTAAACCCACAACTTTGAGCTATGGTTTGTTTGTTGTTAAGAATAAAGCTACACAATGGACTAGCTATCTGTGCTCTGCTAACCGTGGGCATTGAAACCCGATTTTTAGTATTATAAGCCCTCAGACATACGAGTGAACCACCGAGAGTCATGGTTATGTAGAGATGCATCGGTTTTCTTGCTTTCCATATACATAATGGTTTATTTTACACAACAATGTACGTCTTCATTCCATAACTTCTACTGTAAGTTACAACCAATGTAAAAAAAACAACAAAAAAACATGCTTATCTTTTCGTTTTTCATGAAAAATCTCGCGATCCCGAAGTAAATTGGATAACTTTTAGGGCAAGCAGTATTTTCAATAACGTCTAACTTACCTTCAACAAAAACTGTAAGATTTGCTTCTTGGGGCGTGGTCGCAGGCTTAACCAGCCTAAGCCAACTTCCAGCTTCATCATTTAAATCGAGGTAGACCTTTTCTCCGTCGCTATCTCTGATCTTCGTGGTAGAACGTAAAGAAAAAAAATGTTACAAGCAAAGCGAAACCTTGAAATAAATCAGATACTTAGACAATTTTACAATTTCATTACATTCCGTAAAACTGTAATTGCATTGACCCCACTGTATTACAATCATTACATTTAGAATACATTAATGCACAATTAATGCCTATTAAAACTTGTAGTTAAAATATGAGATTTTCCAATTATTTCGTACAAACTCTGTATTATTGAATTCAAAATTTCACGTCACCTAAGTTAGGTATTCAAAGTAATTTAGGTGTTATATTGTCTTATGATTCGTTCTTGAAATCAGTTTTCGAAGCAGATTTCTACCAACATCACGTCAATGATTAGAAGATATGATTGATGAATTGTCAAACTACTGTCTGATCCATAAGACTTTGTTTCAAATTTCAAATTGTGTAAGTGTTATATTGTCAACTTATGGAGGACAAATTCAGTGTTAACAAACAAAATATATACATATATGTGTGTGTGTACTTCTACTGAAGCTTAAAGTGTACAGTTATACGGAAATAAAGCGCTTCTTTAGAATATTTTACCATTTCTAATTGCTGATTCGTTAATTACATACATTATGAACTGTCTTTGCTGAAGTGTCTCATCTATCTTACCAAACCTGTCTTATTCGCCTAAGGTTGGACTATCTTAGTGGTTAGCGTCCCGGGCTACAGATCGAAATATTCAACATTTGAATCATTGCATGCTGCTTATTACGACCCTCATTTCTAGATGTGAGGGCATTATAACTGTAACATTCATTAAGAATAACCGTGTATTCAGCGAAAGTTGTTGACTGGTTGCCCTTCCTGTGAAAATAGAAATATCTCTGCCTGAACTTTAGGGACCTCTGAATTTGGCTATTTAGCTCGTGTGTTGCATAAGATACCGATCTTCAATTGCTTACGAATACAGCACGTTTTATAAATAAATAAATACTGCTTTCGCCATCACGACACATTAACCATCATATTTTAATGTTTTAGCAAATCACTGAAACTAAAATTAAATTGTCTGCTTTCTCTTACCGTATGTTAATAAATCAATGATATTTAATCATTTTACAAAAGCTCTAAAAATAACGTTAAGTAACTGTCAATGATTTCAGTAGCTCAGTGGTAAGCTTGAGGACTTATAAGGCTAAAGTTCAGGATTAGATTCCTCGTATTTATTATTCTGAGCGTATAACAGCATTTCTGGATAATCAAAACCCTTGTAAAAACATATTAATCACCAACAGCAATAATGATTAAAATATATTTAATATATGATAATATTTTTTGCAAATATCTTAATGAATCAATAACAATAATGTTCAATAGCCAACTTCTTCTCCAATATGGTATAAAGCTTCTAATGTAAAAATTGAAAACAACACCCACCCATTCTCAGTTGTTTTACTGTGCCACTAATTGTAACATGAAAAGCAAAACGCTCCCCTCGGATGTTATTCTGGATTATTAACCTTTGAAAATAATGTTTTTTAAGTTGTGCTACTAAGCAACTAAACTGTCACTTCATAATGAACAATCCTCTTAATGCGCTACTAAACTACTAATTCTAAGGGTCGCTGATTCGAATCCCCGTCCCACCAGACATGCTCGCCCTTTCAGCCGTGGGGGCGTTATAATGTCACGGTCAATCCCACTATTCCTTGGTAAAAGAGTAGCTCAAGAGTTGGAAGTGGGTGGTGATAACTAGCTGTCTCCCCTCTAGTTTTTCACTGCTAAATTAGGGACGGCTAGCGCAGATAGCCCTCGTGTAGCTTTGCGCAAAATTTAAAACACAAAAAAAACATCGCTACTAAACTGTTCAAATTAAACATGCAGCACCACTACCCATTTAATTTTCTAAATACCCGAAGCAACCGTCACTTTTAAGAAATGTGTTAACTATTCATTGATATCAAAATTACACAAGAAAATAACAGTGATTAAACGTTCATTCTTTAATTTCCGCTGTTCCCTTAAATCATCTTACTAAGTATACTTGTACTAAATAAGATTTGAATCGAATAATTAAAACATCGATACATAGTATATGTTACTAGCATTGGCGGACGCATTTCAATTTACTAGGGGTGCAAACAGGATTGCCAGGGTTTATAGGTCGCAACAGTAGGGAAATAATATGGGGGAAGACATTTTCTGGTTAACATATAATTCAGCAACTTTATTGTAAAATTAATACATTTTGATTAACTGATTAATACACTCTGAAACATATTGTCAAAATTCTGTTTGTTTGGTAGAGAGCACTTAAAATATTTTTTGGGGCTTATTATCATACTTAAATGAAAGTAGTTTAATTCACATAACATGATATGTTCTAGAAATAATGATTAAAATAGGCATTATATTTTTCTGTATTAAATTAGCCTTGTCATGTGTGTATTTTAAAGCTAGATCTAAAACCTTTCATGGCGTATTCAAAATTATCAATGATGTTACTGCACCTCCTCGAACCCCTGAGTGTCCAACACTGTTCAACAACCAATCAAAATACAAGGGCTGGTTAGAAATTTATATCCACTCATATCAGATAATAAACAAAAAACGTGCATTAGTCGTTATGAAAACATGAGCATCACATAAAACAGTCTCTGTAACTTTTGTAGCCTTATCATATTAGTTCGTTTAAACGCAAGTGTGATTTTACCAGTCTGATTGTACACATCTACTTCATGGACATCATTTATCTGAAAGTAGTATCCACACAAGCCAAACATGAGAGGAAACTACATGCTGTTAGAGCAGAACTATTCATGGACATCATTTATCTGAAAGTAGTATCCACACAAGCCAAACATGAGAGGAAACTACATGCTGTTAGAGCAGAACTATGTGTAGGATGGAGAAGGACTGTTCATCTGAACTTCTCAGTTACTCTTGTCACATCACGAGCATTAAGAGTTTTGGATCTCGGAATTATTATGTTGCAAGAGAACATTTGATAGCAGCGGACGAATATTAACTCAGTATCCACCAACAACAACATATCCCGCATTTTCTGAACACACCTTATACATCACATTATCTCAAAACACAAACATGTTATATTATAGTTGTTGGATACACAATATTGTTTAGTGTAAGAGTTATTATTTATTTCATTTAGTGATTTAATATTTAATGACTATTTAGTTTTCTTAACAGGAGTGCTTAAAGTTATTTACTTTAAAAGCAATAGTTATGACAAATTTTGTTACGTAACTCGGTAAGAGTCGTACGTTGTGAGTGTAGTTCAACTGTTGTAAATTGGCGTCACATTACTCAAACCTTCTGTATTTTTCTCGTTGCCTTAAGTGATTAGTGTTACATCATAACATCTCCTAGTTTGTAGGTATAGGCGACCAAGTTCAGTCATAAAAAAGTTAGTTAGTTATAGAAAACGTAAAGTTAGTCTGCGTGTGACTGATTAGCCTTAACGAGTGATTTCTATAGTGTTTCACAGCTGAATTGTAACAACAGAGAATACAACTGTGCTGCAAACAAGTTAAGTGAAGTTAGACTGCACGATTGTTAGTTTAGCCAAAACGGCGATATTTTGAAGTGAGTTTCACGGTTTAACAGAGATAAGGAGAAGAATTTGTCTCGTTAAAGGGTGTTCTAAAGTAATTGAACCTGTCTGTGTGGACTTTGACAAAAAGGAGACAATTATTTAAAGTTCTGCATACAACAATGGTAACCTATGGGGTAATGTAAGTGAATTTATCGCAGACTGTACAGTAAGAAATGGAGTAGAGGAAAATAATTCGTCTTGTCAATTGTATTCTAAAGAATCGAATCAGCCTGTGTTGACATTTGAAAAGAAAATAGAATTATTTAGAGTTTTAGATACAACTGTGATATCCTATAGTGTAAAACATTTTTGTACATGTATTTAACTTGTTTTGAACATATTATTTCAAAACAAGTGGATTGTGTGCTGTTCATATATTGTTCGAATTTATCGCCAGCAAGTCACAAACACCTACTGTAAAGAATCCCAGCTCCCACACATACGTAAAAACACAGAAAATAGTATTATGTAGTACGACTAAGACAATATCTTAACTAACTAAACTGCAAACAAAAATAACTCACCTCTACTATTGTAGTCTTAGGTGATAGATTCTTTCCTCGGTAAACTTGACCCTTGAAGGGACCGAAAAGGACCTCTTTAGTTAAAGGGATTTTCGTAAAAACGGCGTAAGCGACGCTAGCATCACTGGACTCTTTAATAGCAAGCACATCTGAAGGCAAGTGGAACAGTTCGTCAACTTCCTCATTTGCTTTACCTGCAAAATCAATGGCACATTTCCTGAGTTTATTTTCAAAATTTGAACTAAATATTTGCACATTAAATATTTAGGGAGAGAGAAGAATAACAAAAAAAAAACAATTTTAGAGCAAGTAATATTAAATACCGTTTAATTATCCAAAACATAATTTAACCAGAAGAAGGATTTGATATTAAATCACTTAATGATGAACCACCTCATGCATAAGATGATTTTTTTTGGTATAATAAACCGAACAAGTCTATTTCATACCTTAATAGGTATACCTGGTTATTTTGTAATGGATACCTATATGTTTTTTCACACCTATAGTTTCGATACACATTTGTTGTATTCAGTAGATATCTCTGTGAAACTTAAGAACTGACAAGTTATACGAAAAAAGACTCAATAAAACAAACTTCCCTCAGTCCCAAATTTTCTGTATGTACTGCTGTACTCATCGTGTAGTTTTTCTTCTTTTTTTGCGAGGTCTAGATCATAATAAATCACCATGAACTTTAGAACGAATGTAAGTGGATTAAGATAACATCGGTAACTACACAGTAAAATAGCCCAATGTAAGTGGATTAAGATAATATCCTTAACTACACAATACAGTAGCACCGGAACAGCGTATTATTGCTATCTATCTATTGAGATGTTAATGTGTATTCCTTATTGTTGATATTTTACCTTTACCTTTAAGTAACTTTGATATAAGAAGACACGTCGTTATCAAATCTTACAGACGTGTTTATTACATGAAAATTGCCTGTGATTATCTTAAACGTCAACTTTTCAGAAATAAATAACAAAATCGTCCATGTACTATCAAAGTGCAAACATAAAGAATATTTATCCAAGTATTTTGTTTTTTTGCCAGAGCTATAAAATTTTATAGCTTATAAATAACAAACTTTGCGAAAGAAAAATTTCAGAATGCTACCAATTGCTAACTTATTGACCTTCTAAAACAAAAAATTCTCTTTTGATCAATGCCAACAGCAAAAAATTTGTACTTAAGGATTGTGACGTTTGTTTTAGGCAACGTTGTGGAGATTTTTAAATGAAGCCTTTACAAGCATAAAAAATAATATTTATAATAATAATTGTAATTCGCGTAGAAGATGACAACATATTATTGCTAAGTTAGTGTTCCTATCAAAAGTTTTTTTTTTTATTTCGCGCAAAGCTACACGAGGGCTATCTGCGCTAGCCGTCCCTAATTTAGCAGTGTAAGACTAGAGGGAAGGCAGCTAGTCATCACCACCTACCGCCAACTCTTGGACTACTCTTTTACCAACGAATAGTGGGATTGACCATGACATTATAATGCCCCCACGGCTGAAAGGGCGAGCATGTTTGGTGGGACGGAGATTAGAACCCGCGACCCGCAGGTTACGAATCGAGTGCCCTAACCACCTGGCCATGCCTATCAAAAGTAAACTAAGCTACCTGTGCTGGATTATCTAAGAATGTCTCTTGGCTGTAAACAGAGACTCGTTAAAGTTAATCCTGTTGAGTTGACGAATGAAACATCTTTTAGTGATTACCGATCATTTTGATAAAAAAGCAAAACATTCAGTGTACTCTTCCTTTTTAAATGAATTTTATAAAATATCTCAGAGAAAACTAAAACAATTGAAGTGAGATATGAAGACCGAAAATGTAAATCTGTATCACGCGTACATCAAATGTAGATTTTATCAAATTGTATAACAAAGTCAAAGTAAGAATTTTATTATTAATTATGTGATGTTACACAAACCAAAAACACCATAGTTTTAAACATGCACCACTATGTATATTAAAACGGCACCAAGTTCGTTGGAAAACTATACATGTTTCGGTAGTATTATCTCGCCACTATCAGTAACTGTTAGCACTGCTGTTTTTATTGTAGTTCAAAGCAACACAAAAGGCTATGTGTACAAGTACATCGCGAGGAATCGAACCCTGAATTTTAGCGTTGCAACTCCGTGAACTTACTGCTGACCTAAGGAGGGGGACCTTAAAAGAGAAGCTATACATCTTCATACAGATGTACATACATAGATCCAGCAGTATAAATTACCATACAAAACCTTGACCACTTTTAGTGCCACCAACATCACAAGATCGATTTCCAAAACTAATTTCATTAACATCTAGACCACAACTCTTGTTCAGTATAATATCCGAAGCTGAGTCAATATTCAATGTAACATCTGGACCAGAGTCCCTATTCAATATAATATATGGACCAAAGTCATTATTCAATATAATATCTGGACCACAGTCCATATTCAATATAATATTTTTCATTTTATTTCTAATGACTAATATTCATTTCATCTTTATATTCAATCTTATTAACAAGTTTAACATTTTCACAATGAATAAAAAGAGTCGAGTTTGCTACATATTCAGCTATTTGAAACTAGTTTCTCTATTGCAGTTTTTGTTCTTTTAATTGAGTTTAATTTTTAATTCGTACATATATAAGCTGAACCACAGTTACACGAAAATTTATGAATACTACAATTACATTCCTGTTCTGCTGAATTATTTAATCTATTAATGAAAGAATGAGGAGAAATGATTACTTACAATCTACATGTTTCTTAAATGTACTTTGTATTTATGTAAAAGTTGTGTCAAATTGTAATTTCCTCAGTTTCATATCACTACTCTGAAAATTGAAGTAGAGTTGACACTTAATATTCCTATCTAAATGCTGTTTTATTAAACGAAAACAATTATGACGATAAATTTATATTTCCAAAATTTCTTATGTCGCAATTTTTAAAAATATACTAATGCAAATTGATTTTTTAAATATAGAAGCAAAATACAAATAATAATTATATAATGAAACTTTAAAAAAAAATTAATAACTAACAAGAAATCTTAAAAGTGTAAATGAAATTATCAAAATGAAAAAAATGCGTTTCCTGAAAGAATGTTAAAGATTGGTCCTTGTGACACATACTTGTCATCATGCCCTTATTTACATGGCAAATCACTCTCGCCAACAGTCTATATTACCAACAGTTCTATCACGAAAGCCCCCCCCCAGTGGCACAGCGGTATGTCTGCAGACATACAACGCTAGAAACCGGGTTTCGATACCTGTGGTGGGCACAGCACAGATAGCCCATTGTGTAGCTTTGTGCTTAACTTCAAACAAACATACTCTCACGAAAATGACTAATATTCTTGATACTTTTCAACTAACCAGTGAAATATCTCATTTTTAGTAACACGATACGTGTAAAAATTAATTATGAAACACATGTATGGTGTTTTGGAATATCCTTTATTCACAGAGTAATTTTACATTTATGTAGGAATTTCAAGAATATGCAGCATTGATGCTACTAATTTACTCTCGTGAATTATTTAGCCAGAAAAGCTGTTTAAAATACTAAAATTAAATGATAAGCCCACTCTGCCATTCGACATAAATATAGGATTACCGTGTGAATAAAACACATTTCTAAACGCCATACATATATTATAATCTTCACCACTATATGAAGCTTAGACTTATTCCCTCGATTTGCACTTATGGGGAATTATTGGTGATAGGCAAAATTTTTTGAAACCAGAAAACTGAAAAGTGGTGAATCTAATGATGGATTTGGTTTACATTTAATTTCTGCATTTATATTATTATAAACTAATGAAGATTTTTTAAGATTGGTGCACCATCTCTCGTGCATTGTTAGAACTTTTCGGAAGAGATGAAAGTAAGACTAAGCTGGATTCGAACCAACCACCACAATGTACTGTATTTTTAGTTATATAGATAATACTTTTCTCTACGACTAACACTACTTACCTTTGATTTGATTTCTTATTAACGTAAATTCGGTTGCGTTCTTGCAGGTAGACATTATTATATCAAAGTTACTGAAAGGTGTTTAGTTTTAGTATATATTATCATTCCTTTTAAATGACAAAACTAAAACCTGATCATTGCTCAAAATATAACATTATTTTAAATTCAATAGCATAGTGATATAATTTAACTTATCAACTTATTCGAACTCAGTAAAGAGCTTTATTATCCATATAAAAATATCTCAACTGTATCAATCTCAACTAATAAAGATTCACTAATAAAAATAAATAGTACGAATAAATGCTTTTTTACCTACGTATCACATATTAACCCTTAAAAATAACTACACAGATGTGATAACGCAGTGTTTTATATAAATATAGTGAAAATGTAACTCCTCCTGTGATTTTAAGTAAGGTTGTCGATAATTCACTTTTGACATTGTTTACATTATGCGCCGTTATTTTTTGCACAAATAATGATTATATATCCGTGCTATATCTACATGTATCAGAAGATAATTTTACATAGGAAATGTAATTTCATGTTGCTTTAGTATCTTATTACAAGGATAAACCAAGCACAAGTATACTTGATCTTCGCAACAAGAAGGGATTCGCGGATCTAACACGATAAACAAGTTGTGGAATAAAAGAGACAAAATTTAGTGTTAAAGTGAAAACAAAACAAAACAAAACAGAAGGTGAAACGGAACAAAGGAAGGTCGTACTAACTGAAAAGCAATTGCATTAGGATACACTGAGAGCTAAAAATTATGTTCAAATGAAAAGAAATGTATTTAAATAAAATAAAATATATGTAAACTTTATTTGAAACTGGTGGCTGTAGTAAAGGACTGAAAGAATGACACATATACGATCACAAGCACAGACATTTTGATATTCGTTTGACATTGAAAACAAGCAGGAGGCTTCTTCATCACAAAGTCTTAACTTCTTCAACTCAGAAAATATGTCGCTGAAAACGCCAAAGATGCTCTCTCGATCCACATTCTCTTCCTAGTTGACGACCCACAAGTGTACTGAAGAATCTTTGTTCCATACAACAGTCGTAGTAATTTAAAATAGTTCCACTTACAGTAGGCACTTTAGGATACAACTATCCAGTGAAACGGTAGGTACCCTCCTTGAAAGAATTTTGCAGCACTTTAGGATACAACTATCCAGTGAAACGGTAGGTACCCTCATTGAAAGAATCTTACAGCACTTTAGAATACAACTATCCAGTGAAACGCTAGGTACCCTCATTGAAAGAAGCTTACAGCACTTTAGGATACAACTATCCAGTGAAACGGTAGGTACCCTCCTTGAAAGAATCTTGCTGCACTTTAGGATACAATTATCTAGTGAAACGGTAGGTACCCTCTTTGAAAGAATCTTGCAGCACTTTAGGATACAACTATCCAGTGAAACGCTAGGTACCCTCCTTGAAAGAATCTTGCAGCACTTTAGGATACAACTACCCAGTGAAACGCTAGGTACCCTCCTTGAAAGAATCTTGCAGCACTTTAAGATACAACTATCCAGTGAAACGGTAGGTACCCTCATTGAAAGAATCTTGCAGCACTTTAGGATACAACTACCCAGTGAAACGGTAGGTACCCTCCTTGAAAGAATCTTGCAGCACTTTAGGATACAACTATCCAGTGAAACGGTAGGTACCCTCTTGAAGAAATCTTGCATCAGAAAGTAACACTTATGGCTGAATTAGCATACAACTTCGACTGGATTTACCGTATCAGATCAAATGCATACAATAAGAGAGTGAAATATTTGATACTTGTATACCACATTACTACCAATTTTTAAGGTCTTACCAAGCTATACAGTAAGAGATAACATTCTTTGCTCCTACACCTCTGCTTAAGAAAATTGCTAGGCGTTATATTGGTATACATTAACTTGATAGGCATTACATGCACTAAAAAATAAAATCCATGTTAAAAACTTCATTGCTTATCAGCAATAATCATGTACGTAGCAAGTATTGTGAACAAATTCAAAACCGAAATGAGCCGTTACCTAACACCTTTAAATTATGTACTGACAAGTAAGTACTTTCATTCTCTCTGTCTAACAAATAAGGTTGCTCATTGTGTTTACTTTGTTTCGATATTAAGCCTAAACCAAGTGCACACTTTAAAACGTGTTAACGCTCACTTCGCATTGTTCAAGGCTTCTATACTTTATGTCTATCATTTATTCTTCTCTTATTAGTTTTATTAGGAATTTATTTGTACTAGTTAATTTGGAAAAAAGTGACTTATGTGGAATTAACCTGTGAGACTCAGAGGAAAGTACAAAGGCTTATCATGCTAAAAACCGAGTTCTGACAGTCGGGACGGGCACAGCACAGATAGCCCATTGTTTAGCTTTGCGCTTAACAACGAAACAACAATCTGTGAGGTTCTGGGTTAAAGGTAAGGTATTTTCTCAATGGCTTGGTATTAATAAAGCATATATTTGAGAATGAATAACTAAGATAACAAAATATCAAAATACTTTGTTCATAATTATATGATAATAGATGGACTTTATTAACTAGTTTAAACATGAGAGATTTAAGGTCAGTAACCAAAATCCCTTCTTAATGTCATTGGCCAAAACAAATTAAGATGAAATAGAGTGAGAATGAATGTATCATAACTAAAACAAAAAACGGAGCATATATAAGTAAACACTGACCGAAATTGTAAGTAAATACTAGTGATTAAATCAGTATAATCAATATTCAAATTTCGCGTCCATTAGATCTCGTATGTACTGAAGTTTGTCATTAAGATTTAACAACATTATCGTGATCGTTTAACTGATTTTTGCCTCCCTAAACATGCTTTCTCCATATTAATTGCTTGTGGTTAATCAACCCGTGGTCGATAACTTTATTATTTCCTGTCAAATCGATAGATAACAACTCAAAATATATTACTTTTGTATTGAGGTACACTTATGCCCATGTGATTCTGATGTATGCGGTAGAACACTTATTGCAGAAATGTACTCAGAGAACAATTTTGTACTAGAGCAGCAAAGGATCAAACAACAACTAAAAAATAAATTAAACAGATCTTATATTCAGAACCAGTGTAAAAGTTTACTTATAAGAATGACAAGCTTCTAAATCGCTTATGTTGCTGGGGCTGGAAAGGCTCTCTTCACATGATATAGGAGCAGTAGAACAATGTGTAATGAAAGTGTAATTACACTAGAAAGTGTAATGATACATCACACTTGATATCAGACAGTGGGCTCAAGTGCAGCTTAAGCACATTGCACGACAAAAATAATTTATCCTAACATAAAAGATTCAATTACAATGAGTGATCAGTATCTTTATATGTGTATTGTATTGAATAAATAATGAGAAACTGCAGATTACTGTACTGGCTATACATTAGTAATTTCATGTTATTGAAAGTATCATGTTGTGAGATTAT